CAGGGACCCAGACCCGCTTCCTAATGGGCTTCATTCCCTTATCTAAATATCTGAAATGCTGTAAGAATACACTTACTAATTTTGGGGGGGATTGGGTGTCAATCTCACTAGTTTATAGTATGAAGAATTTTTATTCTTTCCAATTTGAAAATAACTCTTGTCTGGCCTAGTCCCGTGGCCCACAGCCAGCAGTTGTGCTTGGCTACCTTACTGAGCATGTGGCGTTGGGTCTTGGACTGAGTTCCGGACCTGGACAAGAGGCCTCTAAATTCACAGCTCAGGTGAGCATGTGTCCTGCGATTCCCACGGAAGTGTTTCTCTCCATACCTGTCTTTTTGTCTGTGGTTTCTGGGCAGCCTGGCAGCTAAGTCTGACCTTTCACTTACTGGGTCTGTGATCTGGGCAGTTTATCTCTCAGAGCTTAAGTTTCTTCTTGGGTAGAATGAGGGCAGTAACAGTATCTTCTTCGTGTGGTTGTTGTGGGATGACAGGTGAAGCACTTCCCACTCTGGAAGTCGCCCGGAACCTAAATGGTCTCAGCTCCAAAGGGAAGGCATTCACCTCATTACAAAACAAACAAGGGGCCTCTAACGGGCCTCCCTGGTCTGCACCTGGGCCCAGGTGAGTTGAAACTCTGGTGGAGCTCTGGTGTCAGGGCCGGGCTGGGTGCCCTGGGCTGCAGGGCAGCTGTGGAGCTGATTGTAGCAAACGTGTGCTCGGTGCTTGGTGCCTGCTCAGAGCTGGCACAGTGGTGGCACCTCTAGATATGTCCTGGTTCTCACAACACTGAGGCAGGTGCCGCTTGTGTGCTGTTTCATCAGAGGAGGAAACTGAGTCATAAAGAGGTTAAGCCAGGAAAGTGAGTGTACAGAGTGGGTCTGGTCTGGGTTGGGTACTGGACATCTCAGGAGCTTATCTGCTTTGCACGGCGATTGTGGGCGGGTGCAGAGGTGGGACAGCAGGTGCTGGTAGGAGGTGTCGAGGCTGACCCCAGACGTTCTCCCACGTGGGGCGCTTGGTGACCTGACGCATGGGCCTCTAAGGTTGGCACAGTCCCTTGGTTGGGAGGGTGGGATCTCGAACCTGAGTGAAGGATGGAGTGGGCAGGGCTCCTGAAAGAGAGGGTCCCCTGGCAGCAGGTGGGCACCCGACTGCACCCATCCGTCCTCCTGCTGGACCTGATAGCTCTCAGACACACCCAGTTGTTTAACAAAACTTCCAAGTCATGTTCATAAAAAGACACCACTTTGAAAAGCATCAACCAGCTTTAATAAAAACAAACAGCTTTTCTTTTACAACGGATTTGAGAAGAACAGTGCCTGGGGGCTCCTGGTGCCTTTCCCCCAGGCCTTGTTCAGCCCTGTGGGTCCCCCTTGTCCCTCCCAACTGTGCCCCACACCCTCTTCTTGGCACCTCCCACCTGGATGAAGGTTCTTTGGCTTCCTGAGCAGCCTGGGGCACTCAGCTGTTTTCTTTCATTCTTGATTGATTCGCATCTTTCGTGGGCACCCGCTGGACCTCGGGTCTGTCCTGTGCACTGGGGCCCAGACAGCGATGCCTTGTGCTGAGGAGAGAAGTGAAAGTCAAAGGACACGGAATCTCGGGGAGACCGGGGCCCTCAGCAGTGTGCCCGGGTCCTCCCCCTAAGGGTCAGTCGGCCTTTTCCTGGAGTGGGGTCTCCAGGGTCCCCTGGAGCCGCGCCAAGGGTGGAGAGGAGGCTGGTGTAGAACCAGATTCTGGTGTGTGAGGGCCACCATCCCAGGTCTGGAAGCAGCCCTGGGGAGTGGGAGGTCTGAGGTGGGCCCCGCATGGGGGGGACCGGCCTTGTGGGGAGGACAGAACAGTGAGGCTGCTCAAGGTCATGGTGGCTGAGAAGACACCTTCTTGGTGTGCAGAGAAACTAGATGAGATCCTGGCGGCCGCCGCGGAGCCCGCACTGAGGCCTGACATCGCGGATGCTGACTCGAGGGCGGCCACCGTCAAACAGCGGCCCACCAGCCGGAGGATCACCCCGGCCGAGATCAGTGTAAGCTGCTGGGGGGCTGGGTGTGGGGGTGGGCTGAGGGCTGGGTGGAGCATGGGTGTTTGCGCATTTTCTGGGGCGGGGGTCCATCATTTGGACCCCATGCTTTAGGAGTGGTTGTGAAGGTCCCCCAGACTCCTGGAGACACTTGGGGCCACCTCAGCCCCCAGAATGGCCACAGTTGACCACATGCTGAATGGCTTTCAGTGCCTTAGGCAGATTCTGTGCCAGCCCTGTTCATGCTACAAATAGTGTGTCTTTATCCCCTGGCCCACTTCTCCTACTGGGCACCTCCTGGGCTGCTCTCCTAGCCTCACCTGGGCCACACCCAGGGCCGCTGTCTGCTCTGGCCACCTTGGCATCAACCCACCCAACACTCTGCCCAGGCCCCTGCTGCCTGGCCCTGCTATGGAGGCAGGCGCCTGGGCACCAGCACGTTGGACATAGTGCATGGGTGAGATGAGGCTTAGGAAGAGCGTGGGTGGAACCTCCATGTACCCTCCCGACTCCCACAGTCACTGTTTGAGCGCCAGGGCCTCCCAGGCCCAGAGAAGCTGCCAGGCTCCCTGCGGAAGGGGATTCCACGGACCAAGTCTGTAGGTACGGCCGGGCTGGGGTCTGCACGGGGTGGGGGGAATGGGACCGGGTTGGACACAGGGCTGGAGGACCCTCTCTCTCCACCTTCAACTGGGTTTTCAGTTCCCCTCTGAGTCCTGCCTCTCCCTGGCCCTAGCCCAGAGATCTCATATGTGGACATATGTTGGGGGTGGGGGTGGGAGTGGGGATCAGTCCTTTGGCAAACTCAGAGATACTTCGCTAAAACAGACCCTTGAGACTCCCCCCACACCCATCTACGGCTTCCTGTCCAGTGGGTACCCTCCATCCATGGCTCCCACCCATCCCTGGGCCTTGTCTTCTATGCTGGATGCCTGAGTACATGTCATATTTCTGGTCCTAAAACTAACCTCCCCTTGAACCTGCCCCTACCCCATACCCCAGGTATTCCTCAATACCTCTCCTTTCCTTCACAGTCCATTTCTCCAAAGTCACCTATACTTTCTGTCTCCTGTCCCCCGCCTGCAGCCTGGGGAAGGCTAGCTCTGTACCTAAAATTGAAGTTGCTCCCACCATAGTCACCAGTGTTTTCCAGGGCGTTCCTCCCGGTGCCCGTGACCAGCCCTCTCTTTTGGACTTCAATTCGCAGTTGATTTTCCTGCTTCCTTGTCCATGTAACTCTTCTCCCAGTTTTAGGACACTTCTCAGCTGCACATGTTCAGGCTTCTCCCAGCCCCACATACCAACGTGGGTCCTTCTGTCCTCCCCAAGGAGGACACCACACCACACCAACATGGAACTTTCTCAAGGCTGTGTCCTTGGTCTCTCTGCCTCTGCACCTGTCTCCATGGGACATCACACTCCAGCCGATGTCATGCCCCACACTTGGCCATGTCCTGTTTTGACCCTGGGCCTGGTCATCTAACAAGCCCCACCTGCTGCTCATCCTTCTAGGCATCCAGTGCCCTCTCCTGCTCACCTGTCCATCCATCTACCCCCAGACCTGTCCACTTATCCATCTATCTGTCCATGTACACCTCACCGCACCCATCATGTGTTAACCAGTAAATGCCCCTTCAACACTCACGCCAACACTGCGTATGCTCACTGCCACACGTAGTCCTTAGAGCAGGGGTCCTCAAACTTTTTAAACGGGGCCAGTTCACTGTCCCTCAGACCGTTGGAGGGCCGGACTATAGTTTAAAAAAAAACTATGAACAAATTCCTATGCACACTGCACATATCTTATTTTGAAGTAAAAAAACAAAACGGGAACAAATACAATATTTGTATTTGCATGTGGCCCGTGGGCCGTAGTTTGAGGACCCCTGCCTTAGAGGAACCCTGAGGAGGTAACACTATAGTTAGTACCTGTGTTACCGACGACGAAACTGAGGCAAAGAGGCCAAGTGACTTGCCCAAGGTCACACAGCTGCCTTACCTGTCTTCTGTTCACCCATCTGGCCAACCAGTTGCCCAAACCCCAATCCCTCATTCACCCTAGGACCTCTGATACTCGATGCCCACTCTAGACTGACCCTGGGCCAGGTGTGGGGGCTCAGTTGGGGGAGGTGACACATGTGCAGACAACTCAGTTTGGCAGTTGTGGTGAGTGTGAAGGAGCACGTCCAGTTAGAGACAACTAGGGGTACCAGCCACACCTGGGTGTCGGCAAGCTGGAGGGGCGTGTCTGAGTTTGACATGCAGGATGAGTGGGGGTTTCTGGGAGATCATGTGGTGAGTTACTGATAAAGGCCATCATCATAGGTGGCATGGTCCTTCAGGGACTGCTGTGGGTCCTTTCTGTAGGGGGAGGAGGAGGAAGAGGGTTGGTGAGATTGCAGCCACTTCGGAGCTCAGAGGTACCTCCCTCCTCCCACTGGCCTAAGCCCTGGGAGTCCTCCATGGTTTCCTCCTTATTCTCTGCTTCCCCTGACAAGTTAGGGGTACACTGCCTCCTCAAATGCCTTGTGCCTGACTCCTCACCAGCTTTGTAGCCCTGCCTGGCCGGGCCTCAGTGTCTTGCTCTTGGACCACAGCTTTGTTGTCCTTCAGACCTCCCTCCCCAGCTCCACCCACAGGTCAGATGGGGACTTCTGCAGAGCAGATATCACCCCTCATCCCTGCAGTTGACCCTCTGTGGGCTCCCAATTGCCTTGGGGTGTTGGGGACCAGCCCCAGCCCTCTCCTGCTTCATCCGGGGCCATCTGTCTCCACCTCCCTCTGACCTGGGCCTGCCAGACGCATTGTTCTCCACCTGACCTCACTCTGCCAGAGGCTGTCCCTCAGCTACACCCAGTCCCAGGACAGACAGGTGCACATCCAAGTGCCTGCCCATTGGGACATGAGCCCAGATGGGGATGGCAGCTCTTTCCCACTCACCCTCTCAGACCTTTCAGTGCTTGGGCTATGAATGAGCTGAGAGGGGCTCATCATTTTGTTTTGTTTATCCTCATCCCAGGATTTTTTCCATTGATTTTCAGAGAGAGTGGGAGGAAGTGGGGGA